CAGGATCTCAGCTCACTGCAACTTCTGCCTCCCAGGTTCACGTGATTCTCCTGCCTCATCCTCCTGAATAGCTGGAATTACAGGCACACACCACCACAAACAGCTAAATTTTTGTATTTTTAGTAGGGACAGAGTTTCACTGTGTTGGCCAGACTGTTCTCCAATTCCTGACCTCATGATCCACCCGCGTTGGCCTCCCAAAGTGCTGGGATTACAGGTGTGAGCCACAGCGCCTGGCCCCAGGCCTGCCTATATTTTAAATAAAGTTATTTATTTAAAATATAGACTTTTCTAAATTTTCTATGTGTTCTATTGACTTCTGATATTTATTAAAAAATAAGACTCTACCAAAGGCCCTACCTCCAAAAAGATAAGTTTATAAATGATAGTAAAAATTAAATTAAAAAAAGACTCAAAAACGTTTTTAAAATTATGTGGTACAAATGTATATTTATATTGTAAATGTATATATACAAAAAGTATACATGCAGCCAGGCACGGTGGCTCACACTTGTAATCCCAGTATTTTGGGAGGCCGAGGTAGGTGGATCACTTCGGGTCAGGAGTTTGAGAACAGCCTGGACAACATGGTGAAACCCCATGTCTACTAAAATACAAAAATTAGCCAGGCATGGTGGCAAGCACCTATAATCCCAGCTACTAGGAAGGCTGAGGCAGAAGAATTGCTTGAATCCGGGAGGCAGAGGGTGCAGTGAGCCAAGATCATGCCACTGCACTCTAGCCTGGACAACAGAGGGAGACTCCCTCTCAAAAAAAAAAAAAAAGTATACATGCAAATTCTATCATAGTGATTGATTGCCTATAAAAGGAAGGAAAGAAAAGGGACTAAGAAAAAAAGGTAGAAAGAGAACTTCAACCAGGAAAGTTTGTCCTATAACTTTTTATTTATTTTTAAAAAAAGATAAAAAGCAAATATGATGGAGGGTTAAAATGTGTTAGTTCTGGGTAATGGGGAGGTGGATGTTTCTTGCATTCTCTTATAATTGTTATGTTTTCTAACTTAAATAAACATATCAGCCTCTCTCCCTAAACTTCCCAGTCAGTCAAATTATGCAGTAGAGAAACCAAAAAAAACACTATGCTGCATTTCTGATATCCTTAGGAACATACTGTACAAGTATTTTCCTTAAAGTTGCTTCATAGTGGCTCACACCTGTAATCCCAGCACTTTGAAAGGCCAATGCGGCGGATCACCTGAGGTCAGGAGTTGGGGACCAGCCTGGCCAACATGGGGAAATCCCATCTCTACTAAAAATACAAAATTAGCCAGGAGTGGTGGTGTGCGCCTGTAATCCCAGCCACTCGGAAGGCTGAGGCAGGAGAATCACTTGAAACCAGGAGGCAAAAGTTGCAATGAGCCAACACCGCACCCCTGCAATCCATCCGGGGCAAAAAGAGAGAAACTCTACCTCAAAAAATAATAATAAAAAAATAAAGTTGCTTCATGATTCTCAAATAACATAAGTAGCCATGTGCGTATTTAAACTTCCCTTTAACTACCTTTTGACATTCATAAGTGTTAACACAGGAAAAAAAATTTTTTTAATTAGAAAAAAAGTGTTAACACAAAAAGACATTCTAGTTTTGCCTCATATTCAAGGTGGGTTTGTCAATTACTAGGTAATTCTGTGTGAACAACAGAACACAGCAAAAGCAATGGTATTTCAGTTCTAAGTTTAGTTTAGTTTTGTTTTGTTATGTTTGAGACAGGGTCTGCAGGGTCTGGCTCTGTTGCCTAGGCTGGAGTGTAGTGGTACAATTTCAACTCACTGCAACCTCCGTCTCCTGGGTCCAAGTCATTCTCATGCCTCAACCTCCTGAGTAGCTGGTATTACAGGTACCTGCCATGACACCCGGCTACTTTTTGTATTTTCAGTAGAGACAATGTTTCACCGTGTGGGTCAGGTTGGTCTTGAACGCGTGATCCAGCCACCTCAGCCTCCCAAAGTGCTGGGATTACAGGCGTGAGCCACCACACCCAGACTTCTGAGATAAATTTTAAAAGTCTATGCCTTCCATCTTGGGTTCTAATTATTTGTTTTGGGAGAAGCTAACTGCTAGGCTATGGGGACACTCAGGGAGCTTATAATTGAGTGAGAGAACTGAGATTTCAGGCTAATAAAAAGTGAGAAACTGAGGCTCGCCAACAACCATACAAGTGAGCTTGGAAAAAGAACCTCCAGCCTCAGATGACTGTAGCCCCTGCTGACAGCTCTACTGCAGCCTCATGAGAGACCCTGAACTAGAGCTATCCAGCAAAGCCACTCCCACATTCCAGAGGAAGTGAGAAATAATAAATGCTTTTGTTTTAAGATACAGTTTTAGAGTAACTTGTTACACAATAGGTAAATTACACTGGGGTATCACAAAACCAACCTAATAAAGAAACCAAGAGTGAAGAATGATTTAAGAGAAATGTGAAATGCTCTTAAATTAGACAAATTCAAAAGCCTCAGATAAATATATTAAGGCTTCACTGAATTTATTTAATATATAACATCTCAATTTCAAAAACAAATTAAGCTCTACTGTTACCTTACTTTTCTAAGTTCTTGAATACTGTATTTTGAAGTTACATTTCCTAGAATTTTCCATGGAATACTGGTTCCTCAAGAAAATTAAAGAATGTTTCTGAAAAATGACACTTTGTTCAAATAAATTTGGAAAATACTAAGTTTTAAAGGTATCCTTATAGGTCTTTCCAGTATCCAACTGTGGAAAGTTTCCAAACTTTCCATAGTTTGCTATATCAAACTGTAATCCTCCCAAACACATGCTACCTTAAGCAAACTTATTTCACCACAACGATCTTTTTCAAGGCCAGGCACAGTGGCTGACACCTGTAATCCCAGCACTTTGGGAGGCCAAGGTCAGGAGTTTGAGACCAGCCTGACCAACATGGAGAAACTCCGTCTCTACTAAAAATACAAAATTACCCAGGTATGGTGGTGAATGCCTGTAATCCCAGCTACCAGGAAGGCTGAGGCAGGAGAATCACTTGAACCCAAAAGGCAGAGGTTGAGGTGAGCTGAGATTGCACCACTGCACTCCAGCCTGGGTGACAAGAGCAAAACTCATCTCAAAAGACAAAAACAAAAATCCTTAAAACAAAACCACAACTCATATAAAGAAAAACAACATCTGGTGTTCGAGAAATGTATTGGAAGGCCACGCATGGTGGTTGAAAACTCATGCCTATAATCCTAACACTTCGGGATGCTGGGGCAGGAGATCATTTGAGCCCTGGAATTAAAGACCAGCAAGGACAAGAGGGTGAGGGGGAGGAGGAGGGGGAGGGCAGGGGAGAGGGAGTGAGAGAGTGAGAGAGAGAGAGAGTGTGTGTGAGAGAGAGCACACAAGTGCAAGCCAAGTGTGGTGGCTCACGCCTGTAATTCCAACAGTTTGAGAGGCTGAGGCAGGTGGATCACCTGAGGTCTGGAGTTTGAGAGCAGCCTGACCAACATGGAGAAACCCTGTCTCTACTAAACATACAAAATTAACTGGCATGGTGGCGCATACCTGTAATCCCAACTACCTGGCAGGCTGAGGCAGGAGAATCGCTTGAACTTGGGAGGCAGAGGTTGCAGTGAGCCAGATAGTGGAACTACATGACCCAGCCTGGGCAACAAGAGCAAAATTCCGTCTCAAGAAAATTAAAAAAAAAGAAAACAGGCTTTATAAACACGGATGCAGTGGCACAAGCCTATAATCTCAGCACTTTAGGAGGCTAAAGCAAGAGGATTACTTGCACCCAAAAGTTCAAGATCAGCCTGGACAACAGGGTGAGAAACTCCCCATCTCTATAAAAATTTTTTGAAGATTAGCTGGGTGTGGTGGCACACACCTGTGTGCTACTCAGGAGGCTAAGGTAGGAGGATCTTGTATACTTTATACCTATAAAACTTTAACTATATTTTAAAAACCTCTGACTGAGTGTAGTAGCTCAAGCCTATAATCTCAGAACTTTGGGAGGCTGAGGCGGGCAGATCATTTGAATCCAGGAGTTCAAGAACAGCCCGAGCAACATGGCAAAACCCCATCCCTACAAAAAAAGAATTTTTTTTTAGTTAGCCAGGTGTGGGGGTGCTAGCCTGTAGTCCCAGCTACCCAGGAGGCCAGTGTGGAATAATCACTTGAGCTCAGGAGGTCAAGGCTGCAGTGAGCCATGATCATGCTTCCTGCACTCTAGCCTAGGTGACAAAGAGAGACCATGTATTGAAAAATTAATAAATAAAACAAAATAAAAACAAATTTTAAAAAACTGACTTGAATTTTATTCAAAGTTTGGTATTTCCACACCTTGGGCATTAATTACTTTGTAATATCAACATGGTAGTTAAGACTGATGAAATATTTCCAACTAAAAGAAATCTAAGGGGCCAAACGAAATGGCTCATGCCTGTAATCCAGCACTTTGGGACGCCGAAGGCGGGTGAATCACTTGAGATCAGGAGATCCAGACCAGCCTGGCCAACATGGCGAAACCCTGTCTCTACTAAAAACACAAAAATTAGCTGGGTGTGGTGGTAGGTGCCTATAATCCCAGTTACTTGGGAGGCTGAGGCAAGAGAATTACTTGAACTTGGGAGGCAGACACTGCAGTGAGCCAAGACTGTGCATGGCACTCCAGCCTGGGTGACAGAGCTAGACTCCATCTAAAAAAAAAGAAAAGAAATTTAAGGCCGGTCGCAGTAGCTCATGCCTGTAATCACAGCACTTTGGGAGGCCAGAGTGGGCAAATTGCTTGAGTCCAGGAGTTTGAGGCCAGCTGAGCAACATGATAAAATCCCATCTCTGCAAAAAATACAAAAATTAGCCAGATGTGGTGGTACACACGTGTAATCCCAGCTACTGGGGAGACTGACATGGGAGGATTTTTTGAGCCCAGAAGTGACACTACACTATAGTGAGCTGAGATCATGCAACTGCACTCCAGCCTGGGTGACAAGGTAATACCTTGTCTCAAAATTTAAAAAAAAGTGCTCACTTCAGCAGCACATATACTAAAATTAGAATGATACAAAGAAGATTAGCATGGCTCTTGCACAAAGATAACACAATGCTTTTCAAGAATTTAAAAGAAAAGAGAAAAAAATATTAAGAAAACTGGAGACATCAAATAGCCTTCAAAAGTAACATCCTAGTCTACTTTTTTTTTTGTTGTATTTTTGAGACAAGAGTCTCGCTCTGTCGCCCAGGCTAGAGGGCAGGCAATGACAAAATCTTGGCTCACTGCAACCTTCACCTCTCGGATTCAAGTGATTCTCCTGCTCAGTCTCCCGAGTAGCTAGGACTACAGGCACCCACCACGCAAGGCTAATTTTTGTATTTTCAGTAGAGAAGTGGCTTCGCCATGTTGGCCACGCTGGTCTCAAACTCCTGACCTGAGGTGACTGTCTGCCTTGGCCTCCAAAGGGCTCAGATTACAGGCCTAAGACACTATGCCTAGCCTACTTTTTAATCCCTTTAATAACCTTAATTTGAAAATAAAATAATGTACAAGCCACATACTTCCAAGTTAGTACTTGAGTGAAATTTTCTTGAAACATCTAAATGATATACTGCAACACTATTTAGAACTATCAAAGAACTATCACTAAGCAAAAATAAGGCTAATTTTAATTTTTTGTTTTGTGCTTGATTAATTAAAATTAATACCACAACTCTTTGAAACATGGCCAGTGGAAATTCTTCAAGTATTAGGAAATTAAAAATTGTGTCAAACAATGACTGTGTTAAGTCTCAAATATATATCAAGCACAGCAATCAGAGTAAATACATACAATAAATCTAATTATATATTTTTTGGCCAGGTGCAGTGGCTCACTCCTGCAATCCCAGCACTTTGGGAGACCAAGGCGGATGGATTACGAGGTGAGGAGATTGAGACCATCCTGGCCAACATGCTGAAACCTCGCCTCTAGTAAAAATACAAAAATTGGCTGGGTGTGGTGGTACATGCCTGTAAGCCCATCTACTCAGGAGGCAGAGGCAGGAGAATCACTTGAACCCGGGAGGCAGAGGTTGCAGTGAGCCTAGATTGCGCCACTGCACTCCAGCCTTGCAACAGAGCAAGACTCTATCTCAAAAAATAAAATAAACAAATTTAATTATATATTTTTAATATAATTTAATACTCTTGAGGTTTTAAAATGTCTCTAAGGAGGCCAGGTGCTGTGGCTCACACCTGTATTCCTAGCACTTTGCCAGGCGGAGGTGGGCAGATGACCTGAGGTCAGGAGTTCGAGACCAGCCCGACCAACATGGAGAAATCTAGTCTCTACTAAAAATACAAAATTAAGCAGGCGTAGTGGTGGGCACCTGTAATCCCAGCTACTTGGGAGGCTGAGGCAAGAGAATCGCTTGAACTCATGCAGCGGAGGTTGCAGTGAGCCGAGAGCCAAGATCACACCACTGCACTCCAGCAACAAGAATGAAATTCCATCTCAAAAAAAAAAGAAAAGAAAATGGAAAAAAAATGTCTCTAAAGAACCTAAAATGGCTCTCTGTTGTCTAATACATCAGAAATCTAACCTGTACTTTAAAAGTCCTACACATAAATAGTACTCAAATCTTGTCTATCAACCCTCTCAAATCTCTTCTATCAACCCTCTCTTCAGTGTAGCTTTAAACCTTGTTTTCTACCAAACTCTAAAAATAAATCTCCTGACAATACTTGGCACTGTACCTGACACTACTTGATATTTCAGCTTTCAAGGCAAAGTTTTACCCTAAATAACAGCATTTGAGACCTACAGGTCAGAAATTGAGTCATTTTTTTTTTAAGATTCTTTTCTCCCTCTAAGGAAATGCTAACTTGTTTTAGTTAATTGTATTTTTAAATTACGTTGCCTGAAGTGATACTGTCATGCCTCACTTCCTAAAGAAAATCTGTCTTTGAAAAATCCCCACACTTGAGACAAAAAGCAGCCTGTTCTAGATGGTAAATATATACCATCTAAAATATATTTACCAGCAAAAAAAAAACTAAACCAAGAAAAAAATTAAGTCCTTTTTGCCAAATTTCTAATGTTATCACCATAGTCTGTGTCCTAATCATCTTGAAATTTAAAACTTGTATCTCATGATCAACTCACAAATCTCCAAAACTTTCAACTCATTAATTTCTAAGAATTTCACACCCTCAAGAATCTACTGACTGCTTCATATTTACCATTAGATATAAAATCTAAAATCCCCTTCCTAGAATTCAAGGTCCACCCTTTAAGCAATCCTCTCTTACTACTCTGTACTCCTGTAAGGAAAGTTTCAGTCATAATTTAGGCCTTTTGCCCGTACCATTCTGACCTCATCCCACTCCTTCATAGTGAATGACTGCCCTCTTTCCTGCTTTCTACCAACTGTAGTGGTGGGCACTACCTATCCACTAACGTCCAACTCATCATTATACCCCTTCTCTAGCCCAGGCCCAGTGGTTTGAGAAGAGCCTGTGCAACAAAGAGAAACCCAGTCTTTACAAAAAAAAATAAAAATTAGCCAGGCATGCTGGCATGTGCCTGTAGTCCCAGCTACTTGGGAGACTGAAGCAGGAGGATGGCTGGAACCTGGGAGGTTGTGCAGTGAGTGAGCGAGCTATGATGGTACAACTGCACTCCACCATTCCCAGCCTAGGTGACAGAATAAGATCTTGTCTCAAAAAAAAAAACCACCACCACCACCAAGACAGGACACAGTGGCTCACACCTGTAATCCCAACACTTTGGGAGGCCAAGGCAGGCAGATCACCGTAGGTCGGGAGTTCAAGACCAGCCTGATGAACGTGGAGAAACCCCATCTCTATTAAAAATACAAAATTAGCTGGGCGTAGTAGCTCATGCCTGTGATCCCAACTACTCAGGAGGTTGAGGCAGGAGAACTGCATGAACCCAGGAGGCAGAGGTTGCAGTGAGCTGAGATTGTGCCACTGTACTCTAGCCCAGGCAACAGAGTGAGACTCCGCCTCAAAAAACAACAAAATAAAAACCTAATTTCACTTGTTTCATTTTTTTAAGGTGGCTACTAAAATTTCTAAATTATAACTGTGACTCACATTATATTTTAATTAGACAGCACTGCTTTATGGTGCAAGTAAGTAATTCTAAATATTGTCAGGAGATAAGATGATTAAGAACACAATGTCTTGAGTCACACTGCCTGTTTTAAATCTTTCCCAGATGCAAGACTGTGGACAAGTTAACACTTCTATGCTTCAATGTCCTCAAATTTAAAACTGCAATAACAGGCCGGCTGCGGTGGCTCAAGCCTGTAATCCCAGCACTGTGGGAGGCCGAGGCGGGTGGATCACGAGCTCAAGAGATCAAGACCATCCTGGTCAACATGGTGAAACCCCGTCTCTACTAATAATACAAAAAATTAGGTGGGCATGGTGGCGAGTGCCTGTAATCCCAGCTACTCAGGAGGCTGAGGCAGGAGAATTGCCTGAACCCAGGAGGTGGAGGTTGCGGTGAGCTGAGATCACACCATTGCACTCCAGCCTGGGTAACAAGGGTGAAACTCCGTCTCAAAAAAAAAAAAAAAAAAAAAATTGCAATAACATAGGATTCAGTGAGGACTAAAAGAAGAAAGTTACACATATCGAATATCAGGTATTAGCATTACTATTACATATTAACAAAGTAGGTTTGAACCAAATTCCTTCTCATAGGAAAAAAAAAAACAAAGTAGGAAAGAGTACACACATAAAAGTCAAACTGGCTCAAGTGTTTGTTTTTTTGAGAAGTCAAAAATGTAGGGCATTTTGTTGTTCCTGTTAAGTCCAACATTGAAGGAAGTGAGACTGATAGCTAAGATACAGGCCAAAGAAAATCCAAAAGTTCCACAACTGTTTTTTTGGACAGCTCCCTTTCTCCCCTAAAAAGGCTAATTTGTAATGAAGCTATTCTCCCAAAGAACACACTAGCACGAAAATACATCAATGTATGGTACAGCACTGATTTTTTTATTTTGGGGTTAAGTCATATTAAGCTAATGAACATCACAGTCTTTGCTCGACATAGGCTTAGTATAAAACCCTTCAGTTCTTATTGACCTTAACAAAAAAATCTTTATTTGTACTTACCTATTTGGAAGATATTGGCTAAAACATACTTGAAGCTTTACTAAATTATTTTCCCCTAATAAAAAAATCCAAAGCTGGAGAAAACGGGTACCTCCTTAATAAGAGAAGACATTTCTCTTAGTAAACTTACATCTGAAAAACCAAATTTTAGGACTTTTCCATCCCTATAAGTATAGATAACTCCAAACATCTACGTTGAATTAACCATAAGTTGGGCTTGCTGCTTCCTCCTTCGGGCAAAAAGCTGTTTCAAGTTTTAGTCTTCATATAATACTTTTAATTTTCTTGAGGAGTTAAGCAAAATACTGTTTATCTAAGAATACCTTAGTAAAATAGCGAAACAGTAGTTCAGACACAGATGATCCTCAACGCTACAAGAATGTAAGAATATCCAGAACTACTCTCAAAGTCCAGTTAACACCCAAGTGAGGATGACAGGTCTTCCTTACTGTCGGTTTAAGAGGCAGCATTTTCCTAGCTTAGCTGCTTTGCAAGTTACTAATTCCTTCGCTGCGGCCGTGGAGAACAGTCTCAACGCCCTTCTCAAAGACTCGTGTTTACCTTTTCACCAACTACTTAACGAAATAGCTTATCCGAGAAGAAAGTGCCCAGAGAAACTGGAGTTTAGGACTGCGCTGTCTTGACAACCTCATGGTCCCTCCTCCAGCCGCCCCGGAGTACCTCGGGGCTGTAGCCCCAGACGCCACTGTACCTGCTCCAGGACATAAACACCGCCCTTCTCTCCCCAGCCCGCCCGCAACTTCCTTCTCCCAGCCACGGCTTTGCGGGAGCCCATTGGAAAAGGAAGGATACCACATACCCTCGGAAGTGAGGCGGGAGAAGGGCTTAAGCAGCTCTGCGAAGCTAAGGTGATTGAGACGAGTGAGCCGCTCGGCTTCGTCGCTGCACAGCGCGGCGACACAGGGGACGAAGGAGTCCGGGATTAGCTCCTGCACTGATTGTACACACTGGGCCATCGCCGCGGCAGAGGCAGCGGCGGCGCCCGC